AATAGAATAGAATAGAATAGAATAGAATAGAATAGAATAGAATAGAACAGAATTCTTTATTGGCCAAGTGTGATTGGACACACAAGGAATTTGCGTTGGTGCAAATGTTCTTAGTGTACATAAAAGAAAAGATACATTCATCAAGAATCATAAGGTACAACAGTTATTAAAGTTATTAAAATATCATTAAAGGAAATAAATCCACAATTCCAAAATGTAAACCTGGTAAATATATATCAGGAAGAAGGTTAAAATAGAAATCATAAAGTAGAAGGATTAAGGAATAACTCTAAGAAAACGTAGATCTATTCTAATTTTGGGGTATGTCATTAAAACCAGGGTTACCACTGGTAAGTGTTACTACTGGTTCAGTGAGAGTGCATTTTGCATGATGTTTGCAAAAAAACATCAGTTGTGCCGCTCGTGCACAGCATTGAAAATCCCCTTCTTTCCTGCTTTTTCAACCTCTGCTGTGCCGTGCAAGCAGCTGAGGTTGAAGAAGCAGGAAATAAAGGACAGCCAACAGCACGGGCAGGCAGGTGGGCCAAACAGACAACCAAAAGGTCATCGCAGCAAACTGGTTCGGTGTCTGCTACTCTTCAGAGCTACTGGTTCTATAGAACTGGGTAGCATCCCATCCCTGATTAAAACCATACCTACTGAATATCATCAGGGCAGAAACAAAAGAATGATATTCACTCTTCTTTATTTACTTAGTATTTTAAAACAGAAACAAATGAAATATACTTACTCCCCAGGCCCTTTGTCTTCTTCAACCCTCACTAGGTTCCTTTGGAGAGCTTTATAAACTTAGATTTTCCCCAATTTCACAAAGCCCAAGTTTGGGGATGCAATGTCAGATTCCTTCTCCAAGACCAAGGAAGGCCCTGTCTGTGATCTTGAGAGGGAGATATCAATTGGTTCTAAAGTTATTCAGACATTGTTCCAAGAATCACAGGGCGTCAGTCTTATTATAGAATTATCACTAGAATGCTTAAAACTCCCAATCTAATATTAATCCCAAATCAATGTTTCAAGGAATTGACTGCCATAATTCCATTATGTGTTTCTTATTAAGTTTTATTTCAATAATTTAATTCATGTTGGTGATTGTTTTTATTTTAAGGTTGGTAAGGTCAACTATGGTGTTAATACCTTTACTTGGAATTCATGAGATCCTTTTTAGTTTCATTATGGATGATCACGTTGAAGGATTCTCCAGGAATGTCAAAACCTTCATCCAGCTAACCATTGGCTCTTTCCATGTAAGTTTGGTATAGTGATGGAAATAGATTAAACAAATTTAATATCAACTTTACAGAATGCAGTTGAGAAAAAAATAATCAAAAACCATTATCACAGTTCATTAATAAATAATGCATAATAAAATAATCTTTAAAATATAATTAACATATTTTTAAAATAGGATTTGATACAAACATTAAACTTCTAATACTGAATAAATAATGTCTAGCATATTTAAAAATACCAGCGTCTCACTAAATTATTTGTATAGAATTATTTCCAAACCTAATATGATTTTTCAGTATTGTCACTTCAATTATTTGCTAGAGTTTTTTGAAACAATCTTTAAGTACAGTAGTGACTGCCAAATTCAAATTTTCTACATTTCCTCATAAGTCAGAGGAATAGAACTGGCTAATAAGTATAATGATAATTCTTAATTAGCAATGCCTTTAATAAACTAAATCTTTTTACTTACCAGACAAAAAAGCAACAACAAAAAGCAAACCTAGTTTGTCATTGCTATCAAAAAAGAATAAAAAAATTGTGAAGAAAAATCATATGTGCAGTATTTGGCTTAGCCTATTTTTATATAAATTTTCTATTTCTGTTAAATTTAGCTTGATTGCTATTGGAGACCTAGTTCAATTAAAACAATTCAGTGAAGTATTTTTTAGTTATTAGGAACAACATTCTCAAGAAATTTGTCACAATATTTCCCTGTCCTAATCTAATTTTATAGTCTGTTGGTTATTTGGTACTGTATCTAATATATTTAAATTTTCTTGGAGAATGTTAGCCCCAAAGAATGAGACATTTGAAGTCAGTTCCATGCTTGTTGGAAGTTGTGTGCTGCTTTTCATATTTCACAAATCTACCTATTTGAGTCTTAGAACTCCACACACTCCAACCAACATCAGAAATTCCACACAACAGTATTAGATTTATATCAGTCCAATATGGGTAGTTCTGAAAAGATAATTTTGAAACATGTGCATAATAAGTGGGGGAGCAGAATGAACTGATCTTTTGGAAATTTTCTTAAATTTAATGCTCCATTGTGCTTTAAAATAGCAAGCCAGACATTTCCTCCAGCAAAATGTTCAAAGTAAAATTAAGCAGATTACTCAGGAAGGATACAGGTCAAAACCTTTATGATTGTTAAGAGGCAAAAATGATTTTTGAGTGAGAGGAAGATAGTTGCTTTTATGTTCAATTTGCCAGCATGATGGCTCATGTTTCAGGCAGTATTTTGTAAAAGTATTCTCTGATTATATAAATTCCAAGTCAAATTGTACTCTGGCATATGTTTCTGAAATCTAATTGACTTCCTCTTTCTCTTCCAGGGTTTTCTCGTAGCACTATTATACTGCTTTTATAATGGCGAGGTACATCATCTTTTTCATTTCTCATTCTTCAGCCCTGAATCCCCATTTCAGTTGCTCAGAACACACGGTTTATGGTTCTTGATGATCATTCAGTTATGGAAAAATTGATTGAAGAATTATTATTTTTTCCATCATATTACTTGTAATGGTTGAAAAGACCCTGCTTGACCCAGCAAGTTGGCTATCTACCTGAGAACAGATGAACTTGTGAGAGGCATGCACAGTTTGTCATGCTCCGCAATAAGCCAATAGTCTTCCTGGGAGGGCCTCTGTTTATGGAGAGAGGTTTTGGGCTGCCCATTTTCTCTAGTAGAAAAATGTGGACGCAATCCAAGTTGAAAGAGCAGGTGCAAGAATTTCCCCCTTTGCTTTTTCAATGATTTTTTTTTTTTGTGCCGCTTTGCACAATGGTATAAAATGGATTGTAGCGATATTGGGGACTTTAGGAAAGAATACATTCCCATTCTCATATTAACTGGTTGGATGCCTTTCACTTGTCATGCAGAATTACTGAGGCAAAATAAAAATAAGATTAACAGATGGATTCAGATGACTATGGGATTGTTTAATCTGGTGGATGCACGTACATTTGAATGTAGAGAGACAGAAATCAGTCACTCAGTAATCACAAACAGCCATGCTATGTAATAACTATATTGTATTAGCAGTAGCGGCCCTCTCTAAATGGTTTACAGAATCAGCCATGCTATGTAATAACTATAT